CTCTTTTGCCATCTTTAAGGTTCTCTCTTTGTCTTTAATTTTTGCCATTTTAATTGTGATGTGCCTTGCTGTGGGCATCTTTGGGTTCATCTTGATTGGTACTCTCTGTGCTTCCCGAACCTGTGTGACTCTCTCCCTCACCAACTTAGGGAAGTTTTCTGTCATTATTTCTTCAAACAGGTTTTCCATACCTGGCTCCCTTTCTTCTCCTTCTGGTATCCCTATGATGAGAATATTGTTATATTTCACATTGTCCCAAAGCTTCTTTAAACTATCCTCATTCTTTTTAAAAAAAATATTTTATTGATTATGTCATTACAGTTGTCCCAATCTTTTTCTGCCCTTTATTCTCCTCTTCCCTGCACACCCCCACACCAGCATTTTTACCCTTAGTTTATGTCAGTGGGTCATAAATACAAGTTCTTTGGCTTCTCCATTTCCTATACTATTCTTAACCTCCCCCTGTCTATTTTGTACCTGCCATTCATGTTACTTATTTCCTGTACCATTTTCCCCCTCCCCCTCCCCACTGATAACCCTCCACATGTTCTCCATTTCTGTGATTCTATTCCTGTTCTAGTTATTTGCTTAGTTTTTTGTGTTCATATTTTGTTTTGTTTAGGTTCAGTTGTTGATAGTTTTATGTTTGTTGTAATTTTACTGTTCATATTTTTATCATCTTCTTTTTATTAGGTAGGTCCATTTAATCTTTTATATAATAAAGGCTTAGACATGATGAACTCCTTTAACTTGACCTTATCTGAGAAGCACTTTATCTGCTCTTCCATTCTAAATGAAAGCTTTGCTGGATAGAGCAATCTTGGATGTAGGTCCTTGCCTTTCATGATTTGGAATACTTCTTTCCAGCCCCTTCTTGCCTGCAAAGTTTCTTGTGAGAAACCAGCTGATAGTCTTATGGGAACTCCTTTGTAGGTAATGGTCTCCTCTTTCTTGCTGCTTTTAAGAGTCTCTCCTTATCTTTAATCTTGGTTAATGTAATTATGATGTGCCTTCATGTGTGCTTCCTTGGGTCCAACTTTTTTTGGACTCTCAGAGCTTTGTGGGCTCTTGGAAGTCTTATTTCCTTCACCAGATTAGGGAAGTTATCCCTTATTATTTTTTCAAATAAGTTTGGAATTTATTGCTATTCCTGTTCTCCTTCTAACACCCCTATGATTTGGATGTTGGAACATTTAAAGTTGTCCTGGAGGTTCCTAAGCCTCTCCTCATTTTTTTTTAATTCCTTTCTCTTCATTCTGTTCCAGTTGGATGCTTATATTCCATTTGTTCCAAATCATTGATTTGAGTCCTGATTTCCTTGTCTTCACTGTTGGTTCCCTGTGTACTTTACTTTATTTCACTTTTCATAATCTTCTCTTTTTCCTCTATTTTGAGACCATACTCAGCCATTTCTGTGGGCATCTTGATTAGAAGTGTTTTGAACTCTGCATCTGACAGGCTAGCTATCTCTTCACTTATTTCTGTTTTTGGAGTTTTGATCTGTTCTTTCATTTGGGCCCTATTTTTTTTTTTTTGTCTCAGCATACCTGTCAGTTAACAAGGGAGAGAGCCTTAGCTATTCACCAGGGCAGGGCAACCCAAGTCACTATATGTGGGGGAGGGGGCCAAGAAGGAACAGTATCACTTGCTTGGTTCTTAGCCAGCTTTCAGTCACTCCCCCACTACCCACAAGCAAATTGGGCCCTTCTGGTGCTGTTTCCTGAATAGGTGAGCTTGTGTATGTTCTAGGACCCTGTGGGTCTCTCCATTGAAGTCTCCTGAGAGACTGGGGGTTTTCTGGCCACCTTAACCCTGACAGGTTTTTCCAGCCAGAGGTTTTGAGGCTGTATATCCCCACCCTGGATCCCTGGGCTGCACAGTCTGTCTCACTCCCCAGTTGTTCCTTCCAGTTTATCTGCGCGCAAATATGGGACTGCCCATACCTATTAGATCTAATACTACTAATGAATTGAAAGGGCAAACCAGGAAAAAGGAACACAGAAAAAGTAATAAAATTAATAAAAGGGGAGAAGGGAACAATGGAGTAATTGATGACAAGAGCAAATTAGGAGATATGAAAGAAAAATTAGAGTGCCAAAAATAAAAACAAGAGAAAATAGATTTAAAAAAATAATAAAAAGGCTATGAAAAAAAGTAGTGAAAATAATGAAAAAAGAACCAATTGATTTTGTCTCAGCAGAGGTTAGTGCTTGCCTGTTGGTTTCTCCCTTTGGATACAGCTCTAGTGTCTGAGTCTGGGGTAAGTCAATGTCAGGTGCTGTCCACGTCTGGCCCTTGGCAACGCTTTCAAAGCTACAAGTGAGCCACAGTTTGTGGCTGATTCTTCCAGGCTTGGATGCTCCCAAGGTGGTTCAAGCTGCTCTGCAAAGCTTGCTTTTACCAGCACTGGGTCCAGGGGTGTGTCAGCAAATGTCCCAAGTCAGGCAGAATCCAACTCTGTCCATATCTGCCTACTGGCCTGCTGTCAATCTTAGACTAATTGAACGATCCTGACTGTTTTTGAGAGGGCTTCTAACATATAGGTGGCTGTGATTCTTGGATCTCCCATGGCAGGTGCCTTTCAGACTTCAGGGAAGATGGTGGGTTTGTTTCCCCTCCCCCAAGCCACTAGTCTGAGTCTGTCTGGGATTATTTCCCTGTACTCTGCTGGGCACTCGGATGGTGTGTCTGTGGCTCTCCCCTAAGGGGAAGCAGCAGTCTGTTTCCCAGGAAAGTGTATGAGCTGGCTGCGCCCTACGGCCAGTGTGTGACAACCCTGAGTCTGTTTAGGTTGCTGTCTCTTCAGCAAGAGTTAAGGTACAGGATGGGAGAAAAGGAAGAAAAAAACCCAAACAAAACAAAACAAAACAAAACATTAAGACAGAGCAAAACTGAAAAAAAAAAAAGAACAAGAAAGGTACAGGATGGAGCAAATAGGATTTCAGAGGGTCTAGCAAGTGGAACTCTATAGGGTGAGGGTGCAGTATCCCACAGGGTAAGGTAATTGATTTTCCCCTGCAATGAGTTAGCTGTTCTCGAGAAAGATGACGGCTGTGAAGCCCAGGTATATCCCAGCCCCCCAAATCCTGTAGCCTCTCTCCCAAGTCTCTCCCCAGTGCCTCCCTCTCCAGCCTCTCCTCACAGGAATTCCAGCCACCTCCAGTCACAGGGGTCCGAGGTGAGTAACTGGAAACACAAAACCTGTCCTTTGCCCCTTTAAAGAAAAAAAAAAAGATGGTGGATTTGTCGCCAGCAGTTTTTGTCTGTCCCCAGCAGAGGGAACCCTAATGGCCTTTCACTGCTATTTGCTACATGGTGGGCTCAGCAGTGGTTCTCTTTCCTTGCTTGGGAGACCAGTCTGTGGTCTGCCTGCGTGTGCGGGGGGCCAGCCCATTTAAGGTGTCCCTGCCCTTCCTTCCAGTCTAGGGGTTATTTTTTGGCTCTCTTTGGTTAAAAGTCTCTTTTTCAGGTAGCCTTTGGTTTAATTTGGATAATTGTTCTTCTTTATTTTAGTTCCAGTTTGGTTCTGCAAGGCAGTACACAATATATTCTCTCACCACCATCTTGCCAGATCCTCCTAGCTACTTTATTTTTTAAATGTTATTATAAATGAAATTGGTTTTTAATTTCTTTTGAGATTATTTATTGTGAATGTATAGAAACAGGAGTGATTTAAGAATTTTTTTATTCTGCAACTTTGCTGAATTCATGTATTACTTTCTCTAACTTTTTAATGGAATCTGTAGAGGTTTCTTTGTATGTAGAGCATGTGCAGACACGCACACCAAAAGCAGAATGTCCATGGCTGTATTACTTATAAAAGCCAATGACCTGACTGAACCCAAAGATCTGAGAATAGTAAAATGGACAAATACATTTTGGCAGCTTCATAAATCAGATGTTACATGGTAATGAAAGTACACTACTGCTCCATGCAACAATATAATCGTACAAACATAAAAAGCCATTCTCAAAGACATATATACTCTATATCTCCATTTAAACTCAAGAGCAAACAAGACATATGTTATTTTATAACATTGCTTCTCAAAAGTACAGTCCAGAAACCCCTGAGAAGTTATGGTCCTCAGGAACCTTCTAGGAAATCTGTAAGGTTAAACCCATTTTCATAATAATACTAAGATGTGTGTGTGTGTGTGTGTGTGTGTGTGTGTGTGTGTGTGTGTGTGCCTTTTTCACTTTCATTCTCTAAGTGTCCAGTAGAGTTTCCCAGAGGCTACATGGTCTGTGTTGTTGTTAGTGATTGAATGCAGCAGCGGATGTGAGAATCCAGATGCCCTCCATTAAGGTAGACATTACAGAAGTTTTCAAAGTTTGAAACAGCAATTTTTCATTTGAAAATACAAAATGAAAAATTATGTATTTTTATGGAAAGTAAAGTTATTTATGTTGAGACATGTTATTTATAATAATATAGAAATGGTTAATTATTTTTATGTATTTTTTACATTTCTAATTTTTTATTTCTAACAGGTTAAATAGCCTACATAAATAAGAGCTCTCTGGAATTTTAGTAATTTTTTCTTGCAACCAGAAATTTGAGAAACACTATTTTCTATGATAGGATAGTGGTTACCTTTAGGTAGTAAAATGGGTTTAATGATTGGAAGGAGACCTGTGGAGGCTTCTAGAATATTGGTAAAAGTCTTTTTTTAATCCTAGCAGAAGATGCATCTGTATATTCATTGAAAGTCTTTAAACACTATACTTTAATATGTGAAATACTATTTGCAAATTGTCCATTGGCATACATGGCCTGCCATATGTCACCAAGAGTTAATTTTCATACCATGAGAGTTCTGTACCGAATATGTGATGAGCTTAACAGTGTTTTTAACAGTGCAGCACTTTACTTCACATTCTGGGATAATCAGATGTAGGTTGCTTGGTTTCCTACATTAGTTATTTCTTAGTATATCTAGAAATTTTGTATATCCTATGAATTATTTTTTCTCACAGTGTATTTGTAACCCTCATAGGAAGAATCCTGTCCATTTTCAACATTTCAGTCACCCCGGTGATAGTGATTATGGACATGTGCAAGCCACGCATCAGGATGAGGCTGATGACCGGCCTGAATGTCCTTATGGAGAATCTTGTTACAGGTATGTAACCCTGAAACGTTTGATTGTACTTCCTTTTCTCTGTAATCTCTGTTATTTATTCACCGATGCCTGCACTTTCTCATCTCAAGATTTTAACTTCTAGTTTTTAAACTTCCATAGACAATAGGTTTTCATTTTGCTAATATATAGGTAGGATTATAATACTTGTTTTAGATAATCCTAAATTGTTGAAGTTATTAACCTTATAAATGCCTGCAGTTTTTCTCATTCTAACTTTCTAAAATGCTAATCATACCATTTAAAAGCTGCCAATGCTGTCCCACCCCACACTTTATCCAGACTCCTTAGTGTGACACAAATCAGCTCAGGAAACCATGGCCTCCCTCAGCTCCACCATTCCTGCCCACACATGGAACTGGATCCTATAAGAAAAGTAAAGCTACCTCTCTCCTCTGTAGCATCTTGGGTCCATTTGTATCCCACAGACTAGAATTAATCTCAAGAGACTGTGTTTGTTTCTTTATTGGACTGTCTCCTCCTCCAGACAGTAAGTGTCTTGACAGCAAGGACTCTTTTATCCTTGTATCTGCAACTTTGTTTAATGAATGAATGAACTTAAAATAGATTATACTCCCAAAGAAAAAAGTAGTGATTCCAGTCTCAGAGAGCATTAATTCCAAAGAGCCGTTTTTCTGGTAATTTTGGAATACAAGTTACTGAACTTAGTGGACTTTTCGAAGTTGTTGCACTTTCCATAATTGTGGTTTTTAATTAGAAGGCGAAATAAACTTCTGAGACTAAAAAGGAAAATAAAAAAAAACTTAGGCCTAATCATTTGAAAAATAAGTGTTCTATTCCAGCAGAGAACATCAGGCAGATAATAAGATATTTTCATCAGCTGTGCCAATAAACTCGAAAAATTAGGAGCAAGGGACAAATTCCTGCAAAGTACAACTTTTAAAAAAAAATACCAAAAAAAGAAATAATCCTATAATATTAGAGAAATTGGATATGTAATTAAAAAGCCTTCAAATAAAGAAATTGGCATGAAAGAAGAAACAATTTTTAGACAAATTATTCTGAAAAAGGTAAAACAGGTTATATTCTCCAGTTCACTTTATGAGACCAGTGTAACCTTGACACTAAAACTCAGCAAGAAAAATACAAAATGAAAAATTACAGGAAAAATGACTTTTGAACTTAGATGTAAAAAGAACAAAAGTAATTAGTTAAGTGAACCAAACAATTAACAAAAAAAGGAAACTATACTGAGCAAGTTGGATTTATTCAGGGAATACGTGTTTTCTTTAATGTTAAAAAATAATGTAATTATTCACCACATATCAGAATAAGTAGAAAATTATACAATCACTTCAATAGATAATTTTAAAAACTAACAAAATTCATTCTTTAATGATAAAAACTTATTTCAAAGTAGGGATAGAAGGAAACATCTTTAACATTATAAAGAATAGCTACAGAAAGATTATAGCAAACACTCTATTAATACTTAGAAGTGAGATGTTAAAAAATTTCTTTCTGATACCAGAAATGAGAAAAAGATTTCTTCTCTTCATTCTGTTAGTGTTTCTCAGTGAACTAATTCTGTCCTGCATGGGAAAGCCACAGGAAGCAGAGCTCACTCAGAGCCGCTCCTTTTCCCACATGTTGACTCACCTCAGCTTCTGCCTGCTTTTGACAGCTGTCCATCGCCTGAAGATTACTGTCTTTGATAGATTTACTCTGTCATTGCCAGAAGTAGAACTCTGTGTGATATAATGTAGCTAACTGCTGCAGGTTTTGTTAAGTGTTTGTTGACATTTTTTATTCTTTCATATTCAACCTTTGTCCTTCTATTTAAAGCATGTCACTTACAAATAGCATATTTGTTCCTTGGTCTTATTTTTTAATCCAGTCTGATAGTCTCTGCCTTTTAGGTGTAATGCTTAGCCCAGTTACATTTAATACAATTACTGATATATTTGAGTTTAATGTTGTCTTTTCTGCTGTTTGTTTTCTATTTGTCCCACACATTTTTTGTTCCTTTATTCTTTTTCTGGTTTGTTTTGCGTTAGTCAAGTGTTTTTTGTTCCATTTTTTCTTCTACAATTAGTTGTATATATTTTCATTAGTTACATTAGATTTTACTCAGCAGCACTGACTTAACACAATGTACTTTTACCATTTCCCAGATCGTACAATAATCTTACATTCATTTAACTCCATTTCTTCTTCCTCTTCTGCCTTTTCTTTTTACAATTGTCATCACGTTGCACCCATGCACATTAACTTATAAGGCATAGTTAATAATTTCCTAAATGTTAGCATCATCTTTCTTTTATACTTACTGGCATATTTATTACTTTAGGTGCCCTTCATTTTTTTCCTGAAGTTTTATCCTTTCATCTGGTATCATTTTCTTTGAGTCTTAACTTCTTTTTGTATTTTATGTAGCACAGATCTGCTGGAAAAGAATTCTTTCAGCTTCTGTGTATCTGGAAATGGCTTTATTTAGATTTTTTTGAGGGATGTATTTACTAGTGTAGAATTTTAGATTGATAAGTTTTGTTTCCTTTCATCTCTTAAAGGTGTCATTCTGCTGACTCTTGCATTTGTAGTCTATGTTGAAAGTATATATTGTTGCTCTTTTGTACTTAATGTGCCTTTTCTCTGGTCACTTCTAAAGTTTTTGTTATTGCTTTTTGTTTCAGCAAGGTACATATGTCTAGGTATTTTTTTCTTTGTATTCATCCTGTTTTGGGTTCAGTGAGCTTTTTTTCAGGTCACTGTTTTGTTAGTTTGGGGAGATTTCTTGGCTCTTCTCTCATTAGATATTGCTTCTGCTGCGTTCTAGCTCCTCTCTCTTCCTTCTACTCCAATTAAACATATATTACATTTTTTAAAAATATATTTTATTGATTAAGCCATTACAGTTGTTCTATTCCCCCCTTCATTCCCCTCCACCCTGCACACCCCCTACCCCACTATTCCCTCCCCTTTAGTTTATGACCACGTGTCTCAGGTTCTTTAGATTCTCTATTTCCCATACTATTCTTGCCCTCCCCCCTATTTTCTACCTACCGTCTATGCTATTTATTCTCTGTACCTTATCCCCCCTTCTCCTCCCACTCCCCTGTTGCTAACCCTCCATGTGATCTTCATTTCTATGGTTCTGCTCCTGATCTAGCTGTCCTCTTAGTCTGCTTTTGTTTTAGGTATGGTTGTTAATAACTGTGAGTTTGCTGTCCTTTCACTATTCATATTTTTTATCTTCTTTTTCTTAGATAAGTCCCTTTAACATTTCATATAATAAGGGCTTGGTGATGATGAACTCCCTGAACTTGACCTTATCTGAGAAGCACTTTATCTGTCCTTCCATTCTAAATGAAAGCTTTGCTGGATAGAGCAATCTTGGTTGTAGGTCTTTGGATTTCATGACTTGGAATACTTCTTTCCAGCCACTTCTTGCCTGTAAGGTCTATTTTGAGTAATCAGCTGACAGTCTGATGGGAACTCCTTTGTAGGTAACTGTCTCCTTATTTCTTGCTCCTTCTAGGATTCTCTCCTTCATTTGAATCTTGGCAAATGTAATTATGATGTGCCTTGGTATGGTCTTTATTGGGTCCAACTTCTTTGGGACTCTCTGAGCTTCCTGGATTTCCTGGAAGTCTATTGCCTTTGCCAGATTGGGGAAGTTCTCCTTTATTATTTGTTTAAATAAGTTTTCCACTTGCTCTTTCTCTTCCCCTTCTGGTACCCCTATAATTTGAATGTTGGAGCGTTTAAAGATGTCCTGGAGGTTCCTAAGCCTCTCCTCATTTTTTTGAATTCTTGTTTCTTCATTATTTTCTGTTTGGTCATTTTTTCCTTCCTTCTGGTCCACTCCCTTGATTTGATTCCCAGTTTCCTTTCCATTACTATTGGTTTCCTGTGCATTTCCCTTCATTTCGATTAGTTTAGCCTTTATGTGTTCCTCTAATTTGTGACTAAAATCAACCAGTTCTGTGAGCATCCTGATCACCAGTGTTTTGAACTGTGCATCTGATAGGTTGGCTGTTTCTTGGTTGCTTAGATTTATCGGCTCTGGGGCTTTGAGTTCTTCTTGAGCCTGTTCGTGCCTATTAAGTATGTTTTGGTCTGTTCACACCTGTTAAGTATGAGGAGTGGAGCCTTAGTTTTTCACCAGGTCGCTGTTAAGTATGAGGAGTGGAGCCTTAGTTTTTCACCAGGTCGCAGGACAGCTTCCTCCTGGGCCAACCTTAAGAAGCCAGTCAGTAGCACTGTCCCCTCCCTGAGCCCTCCCCTACACAGAGCCACAAAGCGGGGTGAAACAGGTTGCCACACCCCGGCAATTACCTAAGGCTCTGCCCCAGACAATTTACAGGCCTGCTTTTCTACAAAAAGCCAAGCTACTAAGACAGGGAATCAAAGCAGCTCTACCTAACAGAAAGAAACAAACATGGGGAGGCTGCCAAACTGAAGAGATGAGGAGACAAAGAAATATGGCCCAAATGAAAGAACAGAAAAAAAAAACCCATCAAAAAGAACTAAATGAAACAGAAATAGCCAACCGATCAGATGCAGAGTTCAAAATACTGGTTATAAGGATGCTCAGAGAACTCATTGAGTATGGCAAAAAAATAATAAATGAAGAAATGAAGGTTACACAAAATGAAATAAAGAAAAATATACATGGAATCAACAGTGAAGAGAAGGAGGCTGGGATTCAAATCAACAACTTGGAAAAAAGAAAGAAAGAAGCATTGAACCAGGAGAGAAAGAAGAAACAAGAATTCAAAAAATGAGGAGAGGCTGAGGAACCTCTGTGACAACTTTAAAGGTATCAACATCCGAATCATAGGGGTGCCAGAAGGAGAAGAGGAAGAGTAAAAAATTGAAAGTTTATATGAAAAAATAATGAAAGAAAGCTTCCCTAATCTGGCAAAGGAAACAGACATACAAGTCCAGGAAGCACAGAGAGTCCTAACAAAGTTGGACCCAAAGAGGAACACACTAAGAAACATAATTAAAATGCCAAA